ATAACATCAAACAAAACAACCATACAACACTGCAAATGCACGACTCTTTATTCAACAACTATACACTTCACATATTTATATTTCAACATATGAAAATTCATATAACCCAAGCATATACAACACAATTTAAAAGGAACAATATATAAAAATATACAGGTCTTACATTTAAGGCTTTAGGTTAAGAATTTAAAGTAGAGTATGATAATTGCATTTTATTTATTTTTAAAATGTGGAAAGTATGAGCATAAACAAAAACAATGTATAGATACTATAAAAGTTAATCAACTAGTTATGGAATAAGAGGATACCTCAAACAACAATTTTGTAGAAAATGGGAAAGAATATCTAGTAGCCTTAGATCAACTAAGAAAACAGTTGTTGATTACCTAGGTAGTGAGGCTATGAAGAAGGACAACATTTTTGGTCCCTAGATGCTAGCAAAAATAATTTAGGAAAAAACTTAGCCACTCCTAGACATTTAGAACCATTTTGAAAAATGGAAAACCAAAAGATACTCCTATAGGATCCAAATTTGATATTTTAGGTGAACCAACCTAAGAGTTGAAACAAGACTTAGAATATGATAATAGTAAAATCCCTAAAACTCTTATAAATAGTATCGCAATAGCTCTGGAATATACTTCTAATAAATTGGTAAATAAACACAAAAATTGTAAGCTAGGTGTTACCCTAAAGAAAAATGTTAAAACCAAAACTACAACAAAATCTGAAAAGCCAAAAAAAGAGAAAGCAAGTATATCCCATATTGAGAGCCCTGGTAACTTTATTAATGAACAAGATAATACGAGAAATACCTCTGATCAAGAAAGTAAGGAAACCTTGAGACTATTGTCAAGGATCCCAAAGAATATTCAGAAAAATAATAAGGTGGGACATAACATTATGGACCTTATAGGTTTAAATTTTGATTAATTTTGGAAAGATTAGGGGACTGCAAAACTAATCTCCACTTATATGGCACCTAACACTTTTTTAGCAATGGAGGTGGATAAAATAAGTAAAGTAGATCATCTTTGTCCCAGAAATTTTCCTAGTGTTGATAAAGACACAATACTTTCCCAGCATCCTGAGGATGCACCTAAACCCCTTCTCTAGCTTATGAATTGATTATTTTGGAATTGTAGAGGGGCAAGAGGTAAGATTTTTCCTACACTTATTAATCACTTAATTGCAATTCATAATCTAAATTTTGTTGCCCTTTTTGAACCTAGAATCAGCCTTGATAAGGATGACATGGTCATTGATGGATCGGTTAGAGTAGATGTCATAGGTTTCTGGGGGAATTTAGTACTGTTAGAACACTAGCAGAATTAAGGTTAGTATTTTGGAAAAAAATAATTACCTTATCTACCTTAAAATTGGTAATGTGTAGAAGGATATGGTTCTTTCCTCTATTATGCTAGCCCTCAAGAAGGGAGGAGAGCAGAGTGTTAGAAACTTTTGACAAATTTTAACTCGTCTATTAATGATCTTTGGTGTGTGGTTGGGGATTTTAAAACTATTTTATTTGAGAGAGAGAATTTGAAAGGTAGACCCACAAACCTAGCTCTCATAAACCAGTTTGCTGATTGACTGCATGCTTGTGGCCTTTAGGACTTAAGTTTTAAAGAAAATTCCTTTACCTCACATAGGGGCAATATTAAGGAAAGGATTGATAGAGATGTTGTAAATGATTCCTGGATGATGCTATTCTAAAATGGTTCTCTTATCCACATCCCCATTTTAAAATATGATCATGCAACTTTATGGTTAAAAATTAAAGGACAGGATAACACTAGGATCTGTCAGGCCTTTTAAATTCTTAGCCCCTTGGCTATACCATGAAGATTTTAATAACTAAGTAAAAAATTATTGGTTAGCATCTAGGTCTTGGACTAAAAATATAATAAGCTTCACTAATAATATATTTGATTGGAATCTTAATATCTTTGGCAATATTTTCATAAAGAAAATAACGTCTTTCAAATAAGATAAGGGGTATTTTATGTAAATTAACTAATAAAGACAACCTTTTATCTCTATAAGCTCATTAAGTCTTTGTGGATGAATTATAAAACAAAATCTTAAATTATGAGGAAATTTTTTTTATTTACCTATATAAAGCTAAGTGTATTAGACTTGGGACAAAAATACTAATTTTTTTCCACAGAGCTACTATTATTTGTAGATAGAAAAATCAATTTGAGGCCCTCAGAAATGAGAGGGATGAATGAGATTATAACCATCTGAAACTCCAAAACCTACTTGTGAACTATTTTAGTAACATTTACTTATATCCCTACCCTAATGAAAACCTTCTTCTCATTGTTACTAGCCTCTTAAAGAAACTAACCTCACTATAATTAATTATGAGTTAAGAAGTTAAAACAACCCTAAAGCACAATAAATTTTAAATCCCCTTGCCCCCTAATGGCCTTCATGTCTTGTTCTTTAAAAATCAGTGAGACTTTTTAGGTCTGGAAATTTTTTTCAAACATTTTCAATAATCTCAAAGACATTGCTATTGTTAATAACATTGTCATCACCCTTATTCTTAAGATTGATAATCTTGAACACATTAAACATTTTAGGCCTATCAGTTTATATAATGTTAACTATAAAATCATTACAAAAATCCTTGCTAACATAATTAGGGGATCCCTGCCTTATATTATTTCAATCAGTCAAACAAGCTTCATTCCTAGTAGGTAGGGTATTGATAATACTCTCAGTGGATGAAACTATCCACTCTTTTGATAATCTAAAAAATAGGAATGGATTCATAATTATTAAACTTGATTTCAAAAAAGACTTATGATAAACTCATATGAAAATTAATTGATACCATCCAAGAAATTGAGTTTAATCCTAGAATAACTAATCTAATAAACCAATGTATTTTCTCAACCTCTATGACTATCAAATGGAACAATAGAAGAACTAAAATCTTTAAACCTAGTAGGAGAAGTAGGTAAAAGAACCCTATATCTCCTTATTTATTTGTTATGTGTATAGAAAAACTTGCTCACTTAATTTAGGATAAGATTAGTAATGATAATTGGACCCCTTTCTCTTTTAGTTGCTCTACTCCTAATCTCTCCCATCTTTTCTTTGTTGATGATATCATTTTTGTTGTCAAGGTTCAATTGTAATGTTTAACTACTCATTCAAAAAAATATTTCAATCTTTAAATGTTCCACATTGTAATTAAGCTGTATATTATAAACTAGTTTAGTTACTATCTCAAATTTATATTCTTTTTAAGAATTGGTTAGAATAGAGATAATTATTTGGAAAGTGAAACATTAATTAAATTAATTTCTCTTACAATTTCTTATATATATTTTAAGAAAATAAAATAAAAATTAATATGTAAATTACACCTTTTTTACTACAATCATTTTTTCTTTCACCTACATATTTGTTAATTTTATTTTAAATTTTGAAAATTAAAATTGTTATTCAATTTTTATTATATTATATAATATTTTTATATATTTTTATTTTTTATTTTTCAAATTTAGAATTTACTTTTATATTGATCGTTGATATTTAATTTAATTTTTTTACACTATATTATATTTTAAAATTATTTAATTTTATTAAATGTTTATTAATTTAATACACACTATTCATAGTTATAAAATTAAGTTATTTTTTAAATTATTATTTAAAATAGTTATTATATATATAATTATTTACAAAAATATAATATTTTACTCTTTAATTATTAGATTATATGTAAATTTATTATAAAATAAATTAAGTCATATATTGCACGATCTACTAAACTAATTCTTTCCTATTTCATTAATAAAATATTTAATAAATAAATAAAATTTAAATTTATTTTTGTTAAGAAAAAATAAAACTTTATAGATAGTCAAATAAGAAAATTTGAAAATGTACAAATTAATCTTATTCATACATTAATTTTTATATGAATTTAGAAGAATGAAAAAAAATGTGTTGTGAAATTGTGCACCGTGTGATTGAAAAAAGTTAGTGCAAATAAAAGTGCAAAAATGTTAGAATAAGATAAATGAGTACACAGAAAACCAATGAAGTACTATTGTATAAAAGTTTTGAATAAATATATAAAATTACTATGTGAGAATTGCCATAAAATATAATTATATATAATGATATTAAACAATTGGTCCCTTCTTACTGTGCATGCGTTCACACGTGCATGCATATAATATATTATTTAAAAAAAACATTATTTTAATGATAGTAGCTATGGATATGCTTTTAAACAAGTGTTATTTAGCTCTTTATTCTAAATGTTAGGGTTTTCAAAACCGCAAACATAAGAGAGAATCACAAAGAGAGTTACATTGTCACCAAACATGACTTGTGAATAAGACTCTTCCTCTTACTATAAGCAGTGGCACATATGTTTCATGCTTTAGATTGAAATCTTAACACGACTATTAGTCTTATACTACTCTTTTATGATTCTGCTGGCTCAACTTTTCATTGATTAAGCTTTATTTATCAATTTTTTAAAATACCATATGAATTAGGTTAGATTTATGAAATTAAGATTTTTATTTTAATAATATCACATTTTAAAATATTATATTTATTTATATTATACATTTAAGTTAAATAAATTAACAGTATTAAAAAATTACACTGACACATAGATAATAAATTATAAAATCCTAACTTTTAATTCACTAAATTTCTAATTAATACTTATAAATTCTTATTTTCTCTTAAAAGACAATTTTATTTTGAATGAATCAAATATATGTAGAGAGGGGGATGAGATAAAAAAAAAAATACTATAACAATAATATTTTCTTTTTAATTTATAGTTACTTTAATAATTTTAAAAAAAAAATGATCTTTATTGTAATACCTGATATATTTTTATTATAATCCAACTAGATAACTAGAGTAATATACTGTTTATTAATAGAGAGCAAAAAGGGTTACTAAAAAATAAAAGAATAAAAAATTATAAAGCATATCTAAACTTAATCTTCTCCATTTGTTGAGGAGAGTGAGAATCTGAGTCTCGACTCCTGGTTGGCGCTCTCTATCTTTTTTCCTTTCTTTCCTGAATTTGCCAAAATTAGGAAAAGATCTCATTTTTCTTCTCCTATGTATTCTTCTCTCCCGTCTTTTTCTGGTCATTTTTTTTAGTATCCATCAAACCCTAATTTTTCAAATCACATTTTTCTTCTCATAATTCATTCCTCTTCTTCTTCTACCCCATGTTGTATCTACTTCAATCCGCAGTAATACATTGTTATTATCTCTTTCAATGATCCAATTGGTCCCTACCCCACTTGGATTTTTCCCCAAATTTCTCTCATCCCTTCATCTTCTGCCACATTGAATTGGTGTGTTGGGGGCGTGTTTTTTTGTGATTCCCTTATACCCAATTGAAAAATTTTTAGAACGTGCATTGCAGATTGATGGGGTTGTTTTGAGTCTCTATTCTTTGTTTTAGGGGTTGTGTTTCTCTGTTATTGTGAGGGTTATTGGGGTAAAAAATGTCCTTCGAGTCTTCTGGAGGATCGGGTTATTCAGTTTCGCATGAGAAGAGTTCGTGCCCCTCAATTGGGTCAGTGTTGGATGACTATTTGATCAAGAATTGTGGTAATTTTGGTAATTCTTGCAACCTTTGTAGTTTGAATGGGAATTTGGAAGGAGAGCCATGTTTTGAAATGATCAAGGCTGTGTTAAGTGATTTAGATGATAAAGAGGAAGTGGTCATCGATGATGATGCTGATGTTGATGGTTTGCCAATGGATCCTTTTGGAATGAACAAAGAATCTAACTTCACGGCATTCTCGGATTGGTTTGAAGATTTCGAGTGGGGTTTCCGATCAGAGGATGGTGAATTTGGGGTGGATGAAAATGAAACACGTCAAAAGATTGGTGTTGATCATGATCATGATCATCTTCACTTTTTGGGTCTGAGTTGGGCTTGGAATGGCGCAGAGAATTTTCAGCCGCAGAATGTTGGGAATGAGAATAATGACATGTCAGTTTCAGGTGATGTTTTCAATGGATATAAAAATTTTGATGGTGTGTTTGATGAGGGTGTTGTGGTTGATGGAAATGCCGGAGGTTTTTTGAGTGTTAGTCGTAGGGGCTATGAAATTTCAAGCAGTGAAGCTGATGAATCCCAAAACATCACAAAAATTGAATGTGATGCTCAAGGAGGTGCACCACATGATGCTTTGTTTTTTGTGTTAGGCTATCTAGGTATGCAAGACCTTCTCTCCGTCGAACAGGTTTGCAAGTCCTTGCGTGATTCTGTTAGAGGTGATCCTTTGTTATGGAGGACCGTGCATGTTGATAAGCCATTAAACGAGAGGATTACAGATGATGCTCTTGTGAAGTTAACTAATAGGGCTCAAGGTACTCTTCAGGGCCTGATCCTAGTGAACTGTTTATGGATCACTGATAGTGGTCTGGGACGTGTTCTACAAAGCAATCCAAGATTGATGACGGTTAGTATTATTTGTAACATGATCCAAAACCTAGCATGCTAATATTTATTGTGTACGTGCTGTTGTTTTAACTTTAGAACTAATTCTAGGCTGTTGAATCATATTTATCTCTCCTTTATATCAAAGACTATTTCAAGAATGAGCTTTGATTTATATAAGTGTGTTAAGTTTTATGCTGGTGGTAATTTGTATTTATTTGTTGTAAGTACAATGATGTCAATATACAACATCTTATTTTGCCACGGCCAATCAAAGCTTATTAGCTGGATTGCTGTGTTTACTTTAGCTTGATATGAGAAACATAAAGATTCTTGTGCTACTATGCAAATGTACTCTTCAGCTAGTGGTCAGTAATTCAAAAGTGAATTGATCTGGTCTTGATCATCTACCATATCTTTTGCTGTATTTATCAGAGCATTTTGTCTACGTACGTAATGTTTTGATACCTTAAATTTATTTCAAATGATATATATATATATATATATATATATATATATGTATATATATATTATATTATATTTATATATGTATGTCCCATTTCCTTGAGGATAAAAGGTGGCAATTTGCTTGTATCTTTTTCAGTTAAGTGTGCCAGATTGTATTAGACTCACAATTGAGGGGATTTTATTCAACCTGAGGGCTCTAAAGAAATCTGGAACAGCTGGTATAAAGCACTTACGAATTGGTGGGCTTGCTGGTGTGTGTCATGTGACTGACCAGCAATTTGAAGAATTGAAGGAATTGCTGGATGCAAGCACATATTTGCCACAGGGAGACCAGAAGCCACAATTTTACCGAGGAGGTTATTCACATATCATATGTGAGGATGGCCGTGCAATTGATATAGAGGTGTGTCCAAGATGTCAGAAACTGAGACCTGTTTATGATTGCCCTGCTGAGAGTTGCCAGCAGAAACATCAGGCTGCTCAGCTGTGCAGGGGTTGCACAATATGCATAGCACGTTGCATCCATTGTGGACGATGCATTAAGGACTTTGATTATGAAGAGACATTCTGTTTGGACTTGCTTTGTTTGAATTGTTGGAATCAGTTCTTGGATTGTCCAGAGGAAAAGGAAGCTACAAAGTGTACTATTATTAGTCAGAGGACCATGTATCAGTTTTGCGTCTATGGCTAATAGGCTGTCCCTGGCCTATATGGTCTTTTGGCATTGGATAAGAATCTGCACATTTGGCTGTCTGATTTTTTTGTGTGCAAAATTGAGCTGAATGTGCATGGTGTAACATTCGGTTGTGGAGGTTATTTTAATTACTCAGCAGCTGAGCCTTTTTGAACTGCGATAAGGAAGAAGAAAAAACAGATTTTGGAGGGAAAAATAATTGAGATTGAATTCAAAAAAAATCTAAAAAAACAAATGCTTAGTGTTGGATCAAGGGAAAAAAGGGGTTCTCATGTATAGCATTATCTGATCAAGAGCAGCTTCATGATATGTTGTCTTCTGCAGTGGAAATTACTGTCTGAGTTCATTGAAGTGAAGAAGCAAGGTATACTTATGATGAGGCATGCATATGCAGTGGATCAGAAAAACAATTGAGATTGAATAAAAATAAAATAAAAAATGAAAACAAACAAATGACTAGAGTTGACAATACACTGGATCGAGGGAAGAAGGGGGTTCTCACGTATAGCATTATCTGACCAAGTGCAGCTTCATGATATGTTGTCTTCTCTGCAGTGGAACTACTATCTGAGTTCATTGAGGTGAAGAAGCATGTGAGCTATGCTTGATTTAATGACGGGGTTAAGTATTAATTTTTTTCCTAACATGGGTGGCTTTTTTATTTGGTGTGACTACCCTTAACATGTGTTTTTCTTGTCTTTTGATGTAGTGTTAATGCTGGTGCTTGCAGTGGATCTTGTATCTGAGTTTCACTGCAATGAAGAAACTGTTTCTATTGATGGTTTTTGCTATGCTGCTTGCAATAAATCAATTAAAAGAGAAGTTAGATTGTCGAGAACAATGGACTGGGAGAATAATTGAAGGTTTGGATAATTTTTGGAGCTGTGTAATGGCTGAAGCAATAAATTCAACCCTTCAACTTCGGCTGTAGTTACAGTTCTTTGTGTTTTTTGGGTAGAGTTATGATTCAAATTTTCTAGTACTATGATATGCAATAATGCAGCTGTTTCAATACTGCAAGATTCTCCCTCCAAAAAAGAAAGAAAAAAAATAAAAAATAAAAATAGTAAAATACTTTTTCTCATTTTGAGTCTATGTAAACACTGGCCTCTGGAAACTGAGACATTATCCTTGTTGATAGAAACGGTTGATGTTTGACTCATTACTATGGTAAATAAAAGGGGAAGAAAATTTCCAAATATGTTACCATTTGTTCCATTGTTTGCTTTTATTCAGGAGTTCGTTGCTTTTCATTTCAGCTCTCTGTCTTTTTACCTTCATCTGTTATCCTCTTTTGCTTCAGATGCATATGATGTTATATACACATGAAAGTAGAAAGTGTAGCATCCTTAATTTTCCACAATTTTCATCAACAATGGATATAACAGGGCCATGTATGTGTGTGTTCCTTCTACCCATCTGTTTAAATTTTCAAAACTCTACTTCAACACTTGTTATTTGTTGATTTTCTGGATATTTGTTGGGTACCAAACACGCAAGATTATCTTGTAATATGCTATTCTATGATCTTTTTGCCGAAAGTTGAGAGCATGTATGCTACATTTATCTTTTGCCAAGTGAATTTTGAGAATAGAGCAGTGTTGCTTTTGCTTATAATAATTATATCCACTATATTTATATCCTAAATGTTTATATGCTATATGAATAAATTTATATATACAATCTGGCAATCCTAAAAACATGTAATTTAGTGCTTTTTTCCCCCTCGTAAATATTAAAACACTATATATTATTATAGCAAATATATTTGCAAATATTAGATTGATTGTACATCTTCAGCATTAAACAATGTTTCTCTGTGAAATCCTAAAAGCTTACACTTGTAAGATCTGGAATTTTATGGATTCAATATATAAATCTCTTTATATGTATTTATGTATATATATTAAGGGGGGAGAGAGAGAGAGATATAAACTTGGACCAAATCAAAATGCAACATATGACTCATTTTCCCAATAGAAACTTGGAAGGTAACCCGTGCACTTGGATAGAAATGGCAGTAGCCTACGCCGCTGCCTAGTTTGTTTATGCTCTGTTTTTAGTTTTTTCAAAAAGATATTAGTTTTTTTTTAATCATTTTTTAATTATTTTTGTTATCTCTTTTATCGTTATTATTTTTGCAATTTAATTTTTATAAGTGTGATTAATATTTTTGGCAATTAAACTTTAAAATTTATTTATAAATTACTTTTAGAAGTAATTTTTGATTTATTTGACAGAATTTATAAATAATTAGTAAAAATAATTTATAACTCTAGTTAATTCTTTTTAGATGCTTGCTAAGGGACTCTTAAAATTGAGGAGACATTGTATACTTTCTCTAGATTAAAATGTGTGATTTTTTTAATATCTTAAAAATTAAGAGTATTTATATCTTTTTTTAAATAAATCACTAACTTCATTACGTAGCAAAACATAAAATACTTCTTCATTTTAGAGAGTACCGTAAAATTTATCTTTTTTTATTTTATTTTAATAAATTTCTTAATATAACTTATCAAAATAAATTAATTTTAAGTTTACTCTAATAAGATTTATAGTTACATTCAGGACATAAGTTATCATATAATAAGAATTTATTAAATAACATACATTTTATATCTTTTTTTTTTTTTAAATCCTATGTGGGTAGATGATAATTAAAAAAAAAGTGAAACATCATTGAACGAATGAATTAACTGAAATATAATTATTATTTCAGTTTAACATATAATCTTATGTAAAAAATATTTATGGTAAAAAAAAAAAGTGAAACAAATAGCAAAATAAAGTGATATAAATAAAAATCTTCTTTTGAAAGAAATCTAGCCAAAAATCCTGTTAAACCATGTAAATAAGCCTACTTAAATATATACACACTAGTTATAATACGATATACAAGTTCATTGTATTTTTTAAAAATTAATTTAAATATATAAAATATAATCATAAAAATATTATATAATACAAAAGAAAAATGTATAAAAAATACCAAAATTAAGTATTTTTATTTTTGTATTAATAATTTTTTAAATTTAATTTTATATTAATTATTATCAATTTAAAATTATAGTTAATATTTTTAATAGAGTATGTGTATTTTTTTTTATTATGTTAAAAATATTGATTATGCTGTTTTAAGTGGATTACGGTTAAAAAATAAAATACATATTGAAATAATTTATTATAAATTACATTTTTAATACAGTTCACGCACTATTTAAGTTACTTAATATTAAAAAAAAAATATTTCTTCTAATAATATCTTAACAATACAACTTATATTTAATTGTACATAACCAATACATGTATTGATATATTTATACCTATCAATGTCTTTGACTGACACATCTAAGAGTTTCAAAGCCACTTTTTTTTTAACAAGTAAGTAAGTTTAATCTATATTTATTTTAAATTAAGGACATGTTAATTAATTTATTTTTTTACTTTTTAATAATTTATATCTATCAATACTTTTGAACGATGTATCAAAAGTTTCAAAATCAATCTTTTTAATATTTTATCTATATTTATTTTATTTTATTTTATATTCAATTGGGCTAAAAAGCTCAATTAAGATCAAGGTTTTAATCTAAGTTATGTTTGGGAAGAGGTTTTTAGAAGAGTAGGGAAGAGAAGAAATATTTTTTAATTTTAAATTAAAAGAATTATATATTATTTATGATGACAAATATATTATTAATGCATTAAATTTTTGTTAATATATATAATTTATATTTTTTTATTTTTAAAAGATATTATTTTTAAATATATTTATTTAAAATATAAATTTTGCTCTTCCCTCCAAAATTTCCCTTTCCAAACAACTCTCTAGAGAACTAAACACCTAAAGAATTCATACAAAGAAATGGGAGGAGAGAAGGGAGAGGGATAACAATACATTAGGAAAACAAAATATTTTTAAGGCCTAATTTTGCTAAGTAGTCAGCACTTTGATTAGCTTCCCTACAAACATGTCCAAATATAATAAATTGAATTTGTTTGATAACTTTCCTAATTTTACTAATCAAATAAAAAAGTAGATGAGTAGAGTCTGCACATTAAGGACTAGAGATAAAACTTTTCTATAATTACTTTCAATCCAAATGATCTTCTGCCTGTTTTGAACAATGAGCTCTAATTCAAATAGGATGCTTCATAGCTCAGTAGCTAGCAAAGAACATGGAGATATATTGTTGCAGAAACCAGCCAAAAAATGACCTTGAGCATTTCAAATTAATCCCCCACAAGCAGTAGTCTCATAAAGAGAGAAACAGCTCCACCCACATTGAGTTTCCATTTATTAATAGGGGGAGGAGTCCACTTAAGCATAATTTGATCATTCACAAACCTAGAAATGGAGTTAGTCAAATTTCAACAGCTATTAGATTGACACTGGAAAGTAGATAAGACTTACTGAATGATAAACATAGGTTGAGCAAAAGCATAATTCAAGATAAAATTGTTCCTTTCTTTCCAAATGTATCAAACAATAATTTCAAATAATCTACCCCATTGAGGACAAAAATTAGAGTTCTGATTAGACAATTTGAAAGTTAACCAACCAACTAATCCTTTACTAAAGAAAGGAATAAAGTTTTGGAAAAAAAAAATGATCTCAAACATCCTTAGCAAAAGAACAATCTCTAATGACATCAATAACAGATTCATCATAATTACCACATCTATCACAAAGGAAAGAATTAGTCATACCTCATTTATGCCTTTCAAGGTTGGTCATCAACATATTGTGAGCATTTTTTCAGAGAAACAGCCTAATTTTAGGGATACCTTCCCACTTCCACACAGAATCAAACAATTTTTGACAGCCTAAAGGAGAATCATTTATGTAAAATAGTAAAGAATAAGCTAATTTAAGAGTGAATATCTCATTATTTGTCAAATTCCAAAAAACAGAATATGGTCCCCATAATGTGAAGAAGGATCAATATTAAGTGTCATTTTACTAACCAATTCAAGGAGAAAATCAGCAAATTTATCCACATTCCAAACACCATTAGCAGAAAACAAAGCCACAAGGATATCCAACACCAAATCAGGCATATGATTAGTAACATGTTTAATCAATTGACCATATCAATACACTAGCTATCATACTGTTTGGGATAAGGAAAATTTTTTAAGTTATAAAATTATGTTGGAGGATTTACTTTTTGAGGAGTTTTGAGAGTCTAAAGAAGAGCCTTTGCATGCTAAAAATTTGTGAAGAATCATGAAAAGCCTCAATTCTTCATCAAAGAGAGAGATCATATTTCGAGTAGTTTTGAAGGAACATAAAGCAACTCAGTGTTGCTCGAAAAATAAGAGTGATAGGGAAATATTCTAGGTCCACAAAATTAGAGGCTTTTTCGAAGAGTTTTTGAGGAGCTTTCAAGTCCCTTACACTCAAAACTGCTTGAAAAATAGAACTGTCAAAAAATTATTCTAAGTCCACAAGACTGGAAGTCTTTCAAGGAGTTTTTAGAGAGTTTTCAAGTCCTTGACACCTAGAATTTGTCAAAAAATAGGATGTGGTCAGAAAATAGTCTAAATCTACAAACCTAACTAAGCGCCATATTTTCTCCAGAATTGCTCGAAAAATAGAAAGTGGTCAAAAAATATTCTAAGTCCACAAACTTAGTTGAGTTTTCGATTCCCTCCAGAATTACTCAAAAAATAGAAATCGAGGAAGAAATTATTTTAAGTCCATAATGCTAAATGAGCCTCTGAGACTTCTCTCAGACACTGCTCAAAAAACCAAGAAATAAAAGAAAAAGATTCCAAGTCCATAAGAGACATGAAAAGATTCAAGAGCTATTACAAAGTTCAAAAGCAGTTATCAACGGTTACCAACAGACGAAGATTCAACAACACGAAGTAGGATCTTGGATGATAGCAGTTATGAAAGAAACTGCAACCGACAGCACGATCAGAGTCAGTCACGAATAATGAATAGGAACTAAAGACAGTTACTAAGAAATGCCTGCAAAAGAGAAAGAACGATGATGGTCCTCCTACCTATAAATATTTCAGAACTTCATTTTACAAAAGATAACTTTTTGTACCCAGACATCGCACCTAAAATTCTCCACATGCTAAAAATCTACACCGCGCCAAACACCAGCTACAAGAAGATATACGGTTGTTGGTTGTCATTAATATGAGCCGTATGTTTACATTCTTGCACATTTACAT